AGAGGTTAGATATCAGAAAAAAAAATTCACTGTAAGGGTGATCACACACTGGAATTGTCTGTCCAGGGAGGTGGTGGGGTCACTGTCCCTGGATGTGTTCACAGACAGCCCCAGGGCCATGGTTTGGGTGATGAGGAGGTGTTGGGCCATGGGCTGGAMTTGATGATCCCGAAGGTCTCTTCCAGCCTGGTTCATTGTGGGATTCTGTGTGTGAAGCTCTGTGCCAGGGGATTCTGTGCTGGAGCTGAGCCTTTCCCATCAATGCCAGGATTCCCCACTACCTGCAGGAGAGCAGCACCAGGGTTCTGCTCTGCTCAGGACAAATGCAGGAGTGTGTGCTCCTGGAGGATTTCCAGAGCACGGATTGACAGCTGATAGCATCGCGAAAGGAAGGGGAAGGGAAGGCTGGTCCTGGCAGAGCATCGCTCAGGAATGTGGATAAAGGCAGGGGAATAGGAGCCATAGTCCAGGCTGTGGGAGGAGATTTCCCTTCCCCCTGTCCTGCCCAGTGGGGCCAGGGCCCTGTGAGCTGCAGATACCCCTCCTTGTGCCTGGAGAGCTCTGTCAGGGTCAGGACACCATCCCGGGTGTGGTGCTGGGCTGGGGGACAGAGGAGGATCAGAGAAATGGGTGACCTCAGTGGGGACAGAGGGGCCCTGCTGGTTTGGGGCTTTTAACAGGATATGAAATACAGACTGGAGATTCCTCACCTTGAGGTGTGCCCCAGGATGCTGGGGAAATGGGACAGGAACAGAAAGATTTGGTGACAACTGGGCTGGGACACTAAAAGTGACCTCTTTGCGTTTCAAAAATGAGTAAATTTTGAATTTCTGCCTTTTTGTCTACCTCTAGCTATGATGGTGCTCTGTGACTCATTTCAGATTGCCATGCTGGGGCAGAAGAATTCTCTTTGCTGCTCTTGGAGAAGATACCCGTGCAGTTTCTGTGATTTGTCCAGGTAGCCATGCTTGCCTGTCTCTGAAATATTTGTCATTTTCCACTACAACTCCTGGACTTTCCTGGATAAYACTTGATAAAGCTTTCACCTGCAGCTGCTAATCCTTGTAAGAGTTTTGCTCTCTGTCTCTCCAAAATCCTTGCCTGGAGAAAAGTCTTCAGAGTGTCTGTTCACCTTTTGACTCTTTGTGTTTACTGATCATAAACCTTTACTGGGATATTCTCAGAGCACCAGATCTGAAGTGTGGSCAGTGCAGTGGATGGATAAGTTGTCCTGGTGCCTCCTCCTGTCTCTGCCAGCTCTGGCAATGCCAGTCTCACACTGCTCCAGGCCCTGTGAATGTCCTCACTGGCACCAGGGAGGGCTGAGCCCCAAACCTCCCTGCCTCGATGTGCACAGCAGCAAAGGTGACATCAGACAAACACCATCCAAGGCAGGAGCATGAGACAACACATCCAGCAAAAGCTTGCATTAAAACACAGCTGGTTCCATTCTTATTGACACATCTGGAATTCAGGTGCAGATGAGTGGAARTCAAATGAAAGGGGCTCGTTTGTGTCCCTGCAAACAGGCTCCTGCCAGTTTTTATGAACTTTTCCCATTCCAAGGCCAGGTTCCCTGTAGCTGTGCTGAGGAATCCATCCCGTGCAGGGCTCAGCCCTGGGGAGGGGAATGGCTGGAGCCCCAGGAGAGGGCTGTGAGCTGGCACCTGACCCTGTGCACGACAAAGGGCACACAGGACACAGCCACAGACCTGGCAGGAGCTGAGAGCTTGGGAGGGGGAGCAAAACTTCAACACATTTGGGCTGTGAGGGGATGRAAGTCCAGGGATTCCTTGGCTGGGATCCCTCCTGGAGGCACCAGCTGCATCTACTCTGTGTTACTGCACTGTAAATAAAYGGATTTATGGGATGGGACACCTGAGACTGCCATGGGAAACCTGGGCTGGAGCTGGGCAGGAATCCTGGTCTGCTTGAGGGTGTGTGGGGAGCCAAACAGGACCTGTGGGGTCCTGGAGCTGGGCAGGGATTCCAGCCCTGGCAGGGATTGTCTGGGTTGGCAGTGGGGCTGTGTGAGCCCCTCCTGGATGGTTGGCCAGGGGAGATTTCGGCACAGCTGTGCCCCCCTCCTGCACCCCTTCATTCCCATCTGTGCCCCCCTCCTGCACCCCTTCATTCCCAGAGTTTCTCGTGGGACTCCTGGGTTTGCAGGGGTCGGTGCCTGGGCTCAGGATGGCTCTGGAGCAGGACCCCCCCAGTTCCTGGGCAGCCACAGTGGTGGCTCCTGGTCACACTGTACTCCTGGSATCTGTTGGTGTGTTTGCAGTGGGAATCCTCCCTTGGGGCCCTGARGGGAGCCCACAGGGGGATCAGACAAACTCCTGGATCACAATCTCCAGCCCTGGGCTCTCCAAGGGCTGCTCTCCTCCAGCCCCACAAGGGCTCTGTGGTCACTGCTCTGGGATTTTGAGCTGGGCACCTYTCTGTCCTGCCCAAATAATCCCTGTGTGCTGTGCCCAGGGCAGGGAGGGAAACCACTCACACCAGCGCTAAGCCTTGAGGGGTTTGGGGTTTGTAAACCCACAAGGGGAACACATTTGTTTTTAAAAAAAGACACCAAAATAATTTCATGCCCAACAAGTATCTCACAAAAACAGGGAACCTCTTATTTTCTTCTTGGTGCTAACATTGGAACTTCTGAGTTAAACTTCTAGAACGTGAGCAAAACCTGGAATTATGACAAAAATACAATGAAGAATTCTGACAGAAAGCTCAGCTGCTAGAAATAATCAGTTTTCTGGAATCTGTGAGCCTCTGCTCTTTTGTAAAATATAAAGAATTGCTGGACCTGATTTAATTATGACAAAATTACAATGAATTATGACAAAAATGCAATGAAGAATCCTGACAGAAAGCTCAGCTGCTAGAAATAATCAGTTTTCTGGAATCTGTGAGCCTCTGCTCTTTTGGAAAATATAAAGAATTGCTGGACCTGATTTAAGCCTGTATTGTGTAGACACGAACCCTGACAAAAAAAAAAAAGAATTTCATGAAAGTTTTTCTATTTTTAATTTGAAATATTAATTGGATGGACAGTGAAGTCCTTTGTTTCATGAGTGCCATAAATCAGAGCAGCTCCTAAGCTGTGCCCCGTGATTTTTACCTCTATCCTGTTTTSAGAGCAGTTTCAGGATGTGGAGCAGAGCTGGCAGCAGAGCTGTTAACTCTGCCCTGCCCCAGCCTTCTCTGTGCCCCATCCAGCACTCTGAGCTGCAGGTGGCTCAGGGACACACTCTGTTTGCAGAACACAATTTAATGTTAAAACATTTGTTAAAAAAATGTTTAAAAACCAGTTTTTGCTCTTCTTTAAAGAGCAAAGCTTTGGGAAATGCTTCCTGTTGCATTGCAGTGCAGCTGTAGCAGCCTGAAAAATAACCCCAGGTTTGTGGGTTTGTGGGCAAAGCAAGAATGACTTTTTAATTGAGTTTATCCTTTACTTTCAAATTAATTTGTTTTATTGCTTATAACTTTCCATTCTTCTCTACAGTGTGCTGTGCTATTCTAAGGCTTTCACCTGCTGAATTAATCCTGTGTCCTTTTCTCCCCTAGATCACCCTTTATTTAAGGATAAAAAACACCTCCTGGAGATACCAGGGATGAACTTCAAGTCAGCATTGCTGTGATTTGTTTCTGGTGCATGGGTTGTTGTTACAAGGCACAAATTAACCCAGGATGAGGAGCTTTTGTAAATCATTGGAGCATCCTTGCCTTTGTCCAATATATTTTCCTGCACGAACATCTCTAATACTGAGTGCTTTTACAAAACTGATCTAATGATTTACATTCAGAGGAGGCAGGGAGACCTGGATTAACTACACCTTTGTTAACTGCAGGAGCAGCCAACTTGGAATACTGTTGGGAGCTAAGAATGGAAGAGATTTTTCTCACAGAAATTCATCTTCTTCCATATCTTTTCTCCCCTTGCATTTCTTCCCTTCCTTTATCTTCATTACAGCATGACAGGCAGCGCAGCAAGGTGCTGTGCACACTGACAGTCCCAGTGCTGCAGAACACATCTCTTACAGAAAAACCACCACCACTTCATCTCTTATGCATAAATGCTTTGTCTCTCATGCTGTACAGAGAGCTTGTTAGTTCAGGGACCTGCCACACCGGCTYGAGGAAAAGATAAAAAGCCTTTTCAACCAACTTTTTGTGTCAAGCCACTGCTCATAAAGTAACTCATCAGAAAAGAAACRGATCTTTTTGAACCCAGAGATCAAGAAAGCTCTGAAATAAGAGTTGCTGGTCTTTTAGAAGAGGGTCTGGYGCTCCAGTGTTGGGGTGTTCAAGTACCTGGCATGGTTTAAACTCGGGATTTAGGAGAACAAATGCCTGACCTGTTTGTATAAACTCCCCTCTCAGTTTTACACAGACATGCCAGAGCCGGCCAGTGAACAAGGTGCTGTCACCTCTCTGGGCACATAAAGCCACCCGCCCTAAGGACAGACACCAAATCCACCCCACTGCAATCAAACATTTCCATGGAAGCGTGGCCCAGCACACCCCTGCTCGCTGCAGGCAGCCCTGGAGCTGCACCTGTCCCCACCACCACCAAAATCCCTTCCCAAAGCCTGCACAGATGCAGTTTGCAGCACAATCTCCATCTCCWTTCCGCTATCACTGAGCATCGGCAACAGAAGCTAAACATTACAAAGCAAAACTCAAAAAACCCATGAAATCTCTCTTTTTTTTTAAAAAAAAAAACAACCAAACTGAGAATACTGTGGTGTAGCCCCACAAAGCCAGAGATTCCCCCCTCCCAGTGTCTGTTATAAACAGCKCTGCTGTTTGTAGTTAACTTGGTGTGGGTGCCATGAGTGTAAGGCTCAAAGGATCCTGTGGATAAGGATAAAATTAATAGCCCTTTTGCTGGTATTTCTTAAATTATTTACCACATTAGAAAATAATTTGGGTGGAGGCAAAAACCCCTTGAAATGAACGTCACAGCTGAAGGACAGAAAACAACATTTATCCCTTACCTGAGGCCGAGGTGGKGGAGCTTTGGTTTGGTACCAAATCAGGCAAACCAAACGCACCAGTATCCCAAAATGTGCAGCAGAACACACAAAAAACGAAGATCAAATAGAAAAATCCACTTCTCTTTTTGTGAAGCAATACTGGGAGTGTTCAGCTCTCCAGTCTCCAAGGTTTTCCAGCTGGGAGTCAGCCTTTTCCCATCCTGCATCCCGGCATCCTGTTATTGTTCCAAGTCTTAGTAATACAGTGAGAAAAGGGAGTGGAGGAAACAAGATAAACTTCGCCTTATTATGGCTCTATCTTATTTGTTGCTGACTCTAATGAGGGAACTGAATAAAAGGAAACTGGCTCTGAGAGAAACACCAAAGTTGGTCTGTTATTCAGAATTGTTTTGGAAGGAGTTGTAGTGAATATCTGAATGGTGCTTTTGGTGTCTGACACTCCATCAGCACAGACTATGGCTGCTCTGCACAAACAGCATTTTCAGAGCAGGTGGAAGTGTCCTATCTACAAGAATTTTTGTACCTGGAAGACAAAAAGGYAAAGCCCTCATGTTAATGAGAGTGGGCTCCTGGTCAGCTCTGTCAGTGCTGGATGTAAAAATGAAATTCACAGCATTTTTCACAGGTGAAGTGAAGACCCCAGCAGTGTAGTGGGCCTTTCAGAAGGAGAAAATGTTTATAACATCTCAATTCTAGTGAGTTCTAAGTCTGGAGACCACTCAGGGCAGACAGCAGGGGAAGCTTCAGTGTTAAACTGAGCACGAGGGTGTAGCTCTGGCATCGTGMAGTACAAATGAAAGAGGATTTGAAAAAAAACTAAATCATGCAGAAAAAAACTGAGAAGTGCTGGTCTTACTCAAAGCTCTCTCTTTTGACCCACTTATAATAAATGCMGRCAAATGCTCAATGTATCTTAAGTGKAATATTAATAATTTTAATTATTGAATTAAATTAAACTTTTAGCATTATTCCACAGTTAAATGCTCTCTTGCCCCTATCTGTCATCACAGTCCAGCACAGGYAGTGGCATTGATTTCCTGCCTTGCCAGAAGGCTGAGGTTGGTCAGATTGTTCCACATATTCATGGYGTACAGCAGCAAAGATGAATGGCTTCTGAAGGCATTTGTTACATTAATTATTAAAAAAAAAAAAAGGAGACATTTTTCAAAGTCTTGTGTGAGAAGCCCACAGGAAAATCATCTGTTCGGTGAGCTGTGTCACTGCTGGGAGAGGAGCAGGGCCATGGTGGCCGGGCTTTCCAGGGCAGGGCGTTATCGGGGCAGGACGGGCTCTGTGATAACCCCGTGCCCAGGGCACGGATCTGCCCGACCCTGATGGGGGCTCCACCAGGGGCCTTTGATGTCCCTGGGGGCCTTTGATGTCCCTGGGGGCCGGGAGTGGGGGGTGGGGGCTCAGCTGCTTCAGGGAAAGGAGCAGGGAAGGGATGTCGCTGCTGGCTAAACAGTGACATAAAATAATAGATACAAAAACACACAAAAGTGGGTGAAAAAAACAGAGAGAAAGAAGAAAGTTGATTGTGGGACAAGCCTCTTTTATCTACTTTAGCAACCAGAGTATACATTTGTGTTAAACATACATTGGTTAAGAGACAGCTGTTTAATTAGTAATCAGAACATAATTGGTGAGTTTGCAAAAGCTACAGTATTAGTAATGTTYATAATTTCCAGCCACYTGCRTTATCAATTCTACATTTCAATCTCCTTTTCTCAGCAGTAGCCAAGGCATTTCTCCTCCATGTAGGYTGTTAACACWCCCTTTCTTTTCTCAGGACYCAGTCATACACATAATTGGCTGAGTYTCAGAATCAGGGCTTRTGGGGTCACTTTTTTCCCCCACAAAGGGAGGGATCTCCCCTGCTCAGAGGGGACAGGAGGAGAGCCCAGGGCTCCCTCTGTGCCCCAAGGCAACAGACAACCCCAGCTTACCCAGGTCTGTTTGATGCCTGATAAATTATCTTCCTCTTTTCTGATTTGCTTCATCTCCCCAAAAMAGTTTAAGGCAAGAAGTGAGAAAGCTTCCAAAGGCCTTTTTACACACTCTGCTCCAGAGCTCAATGGAAAACTGAAGTTTAAGAGAAAAGTTGTAAGTTTAAGAGAAAGATACTTCCATTGGTATTTTAGAGACCTGATTTACCATCTACACCCTTCCCATGTGTCTTTATAGGTTTCATCTCTGCTGAACTGATTAAGTTTTCTTTCTGGTTATGAGCAAAGGTCTATGGAGATGTTTTGGAATGAAGAAGCCATTCTTGCAGCCCYCTGCCACCAGCAGTGAAGCTCCTGATGGCTCAGAGGGTCCTGTGCCCTCTGGTTGATCCCAGACATTTGTCCTGCTGTCCCTCCTGGGCTATAAATGTCACCAGGTTTTAAAGCTGCTGACASTAAATTCTGGCAAGTAGGATTTCTTTGAGATCTTAAACTTTTAGAATTTATCATCAGGGCCAAATCACAAGACTTTGGAAAAATCCCTTGGTGGCTCATGCCTTTTGCAAGCCAGARGGGAATGTTTTAAAAATATGATTAATCCACACTGAGTTCTGCTAATGCGAAAAATCCTTTGCATGCTTAGACAACATTAGCAAACATAGTCACCTTTWAGGTGCCTGATTTTGTGTATGGACTATTATTAAACAGTCCARCTTGTGGAAGTGAAAGGAACAGGTGAAAACTGAATGGAAAGCTCAGCCTCATYTCCACCATCTGTGTGACTCATGGATGGAGATGGCGTCTCGAGCAAAAGGAGCCACAATTATTTACTTGGCATTTCTCGGRGTTTTCCTGCTGGTCCTTTCTCCAAATGACATCAGGCCATTCCCATTGGTCAGTCCAGCTCTGCTTTGTGAATTTTCTTCCATGTTATATCCAGCTGGATCCATTTGCTGGACCCTTTGCTTCTCTCCATGTGCTTTTCCTGCAGATGTCCAATCGCTGCTGCTTGGGGCTTTGGGGCACCTGGGCTTGATGTATCTGGTTCAGATCAGTGCCTCTCCCGATGAAACTTTGGGTTTAGCCTGTGTTACTGAAATGCTGGAGTCTGAGCAATTTGTCAGAGTAGTAGAGTTTAAAATCGTCTTCCCTCTCCTGAGTGACGGGGTAGAACTCAGCTTTCCTTTGAAGGTGCTTGTGCATGGTTTGAATTTGACATTCCTGGGAATGTGSAGTAATAACTGTCATCTTGCTGCTGCTGAGAGGAAAAATGTGKTATAATGGGCAGAAACAGAGCCCTTGTTCACCACATTCAGTSTGCTCAATCTGCCTGCTCTCACAGACACCCATAAGGGGTTAGGGTGAGTTACAGGGGYGGTGACTGCACAGAATAAATGTGGGATTAAAGCACCTTTCTTCAGAATTGTGTTTGATCTGTGGCTGAGGAGATTGGTCAGGTGGTCTGGAGCTCCAGTTTCCCTGCTTGCTGTGTACCCAGCGTGTGGGCACAGCTCCTGGCCACAGTAGCTTTCAGGTTTTCACTGTAGTGCTTGTTTGCTGTCCATCTGATCAGGGCTCTGGGAAGTTCTCCTCAATGAATTAATGGAAAACATAGCTGCAGGAACAAGTTCATTGCTTTCTCAACCAGCACAGGTCCCAGCAGAGGGGATAAAGCAGCCCATTCCTTTCACTGAATGAGACTTTTCCTTTCCTTCAGCAGTAATTCGAGTTGTGGTGAAGTTCCATGTGATAGATAAGCTCTTCTTGATAAGCACAGCCATCAAAACCAGAGACAGCTATTGACACAGCTGCTACTAATAAACTTCTAATTCTCATCCTAGGGCTGACTCTCGCTAGGGAAGGGTTTTACCCTTGGCAGTTCAGCCCAAGAATGTTTTTGTAACACTTTATAAAAGTTAGATTTAGTCTATCTTGCTAAACCCAGCATGTTACAGCCCCATGCCAGTGAGGATTGGGAATTCAGGCACAGCAATAACAAATACCGTGTCAGGGTTTTTCTGACCAGTTAGGAAATGGGGTAGGGGAGAGCACAGGCTTCCCTTAGGTTATAAAAACCAAACCCCAAATGCTAATTTTGAGCAGTTCAGCTAGTCATTGTACAATCCCTCCCATCTGAAATGTGCAATTGTATCTCAGTGCTGTTTGCAGTCTCTATGGAAGAAGCATTACTTAAAGTTTAAAAAACAACAATTCCTGCTCCATGTGGAATGTATAATCTGTGCAGCACGTTGTGCTGTTATTTCTGGGCCTTTAATCAGGGCAGTGCAGCGCTCTGAGTCATTTCCACTCGGTCACTGGCTTCCTCCCTGTCACAGCTTGAGGTGCGCATCCTGGAGGGAGCCTGACTCAGCTTCCTTTGGTCAGGTTTCTCAAACAAAGGAATGTAGCTCTGATTTAGTTTTAATTTAAGCTGTATTTATAAAAAAGCTGCTGAGGAATTCGAGTTAAAGCTGGTGGAATTGGGTGCTTGCTGGGGAGCTGTGATGACGTTTGCTGAGATGTTTTCCAGAGCGCTGTTCTGTCTGTACCACCCTCATTCTGCTTCACCAGATCTCTCGTGGAAGGGTCAGTCCCGTGCTCCTTAATCTCTCATCACAGATGAGACTTCTGGCTTTATAAAAACCAATGACTACAGGGTTTCCCCCTAAAATGTTCAGCAGGGAATGATCCCAAACCATCTTGTTGCCTTGTTTGGAGATGACAGGAAGGRATGGTACAAGATGGTACAAGATGCGCCCACATTGTGCTAAAGCTTTGTAACATCTGAGCAGAAGTCATAAAATGGAACTGCGTCACTGCTGAGCTGAAGGAAGGAATCATGAGCCCYTTTGATGTGTGCACTGAAGACACAATCCCCAGGGATTTGGAACAACGAGCCTGCAGGCTGGCTCTGGCACAGTAACCTGCATGTATGATTTCATGACGAGCATGGTCTTGAGCAAGTCTAGTGTGTGAAGCTGGTAAAAAGTTTTCTGCAAATGTTTCTGATGAAGAATCTTGATTTCAGTGAAGTTTTTTTTTTCCACCCAAAGAACATACCTGTTTTAATAGGAATGGCTCTTAAAATASAAACCCAAATAGAAACCCAAACCAACACATTCTATTCTTAAACAAAAGGGATGAAAATCATCACCTTTCACTCATGAACTCTGTTGGTTGTTGAAGCAGCCCAGCTTCCACCTCCGATAGTGGAAATGCTCATGTTTTGGTGCAGAAGAGATTCTCTCTGTGTGCCAGATCTGAAAACATAGTGATAACACCCATCTGAATTTTCGGTAAAGTCTGCAGTGCAAACATTCTTTGGCAGTCTGTGGCATTTATTTACAATAACTCCAGAAG